ATCACGACATTCCTGTACACATCACTCCTAATCGTGATAACCGTGTTGTTCCTTATCGTGATTCAAAACTCACTCGTCTCCTTCAAGACTCTTTGGGCGGTAGCGCGCATACGCTCATGATCGCTTGCGTATCATCCGGAGAGCACGAGCGCAACGAGACCCTAGCCACGCTCAAGTATGCCTCTCTCACAAGAAACATCAAGAATTTGCCGAAGAGAAATGTGAAGAATACAAACGTTGGGAGTTCTCGGAGGGATTCCCTTACGCGAGAAACAGCATCCAGCAGCGCGCGAAGGAATTCAGTCACACGGGGAGCAGGAACGGGTAACGACCGAAAGAGTTCCACACCGGCTAATGGTCACTCACGAAAGAAATCGGTCGATCCTAAACAATCCAACAACCACGATGAACCGGGATGGTACGATATGAAGAATTTGCAATCAATGGTAATCAGATTGAGAGCCGAGAATAATGCACTGAGAGTTGCGCTTGTCACCGTTGAAAATCGCACCTCCGTTTCCGGGCGGACACCGGGAAGGAGCACCCCGACGTTAACTTCTTCGGGTCGCAATACACCCACCAAGCCTCGGCGACCCATGTCACCACTTGCCACATTCTCGACGCCAAAGAATTCTTTGTCGCATCAAAATCAGGAACATCTGGAAGAGATTGAACATCAGTACTTGCAATTACGACAATCATACGCGGAGCTTTCTCTTAAATACGGACAGACATCTGCGGAACTCGCACTCTATCAAGATAACCGCGAACTGGCATCCGCCTATCCCGTCACTCCCCTCGGAACTTTACTCTCTGGTAGTCATGACGGTGAAAGAAATTTCACGTCAGTCGCCGAACCGATCATCCGAGAGTATGAGAAATCGATTGCTTTGCTGGAGGAAAAACTCGTCATCACACAAGCCGAACTCGATCACTCGGAACAAATGCTTAAGGAACACGTGGAAGCTTTGGAAGAAGCCGAGCGCACTCACGAACACAATTTGAACACCGCCGCCAGTTTGCAAAAATACATCGTGGAGCTCGAGACCAAACTGGAAAAACGCGAATCGGAAGCTATGACACGTGAAGTTCGCAATGAACATCCGGAGAAATTCATTAGCGAGACTGTGCGATTGTTGGAGCAACGGTTGCAAGAGAGCGAGGTGGCATACAGAGATCTGGAGATGAAAATGATGGATGCCGAAC